TTAGGATACATAGGTAGAATATACATAAAGTGGTGAAGGGTATCATATAGTCGGTCCAGTCCGACTTTACTAATTTCCTTACTGGTTTAAAAAATATTTCTAGGACCTATACAAGGCCAATTTTTTTAAAAAATATTTCTGGGACCTATACAAGGCGTGGATAGAGAAACATTTTCTACGACCTATACAAAGCGTGGATTTAAAAAGAAAATGTTTCCGGGACCTATACAAGGCGTAGATTTAAGAAAGAATCCGCAATCCAAAAAAAATATTTCTGGGACCTATACAAGGCGTGGATTTCAGAAAGAATCCGCAACCCAAAAAAAAGTATTTCTGGGACCTATAAGGGCGTATTTTTTTAAAAAAAGTATTTTCTAAGACCTTTACAAGACGTGGATAGAAAATAATTGTCTACGACCTATACAAAGCGTGGATTAAAAACAAATGTTTTCCAGGACCTATACAAGGCGTGGATTAAAAGAATCCGCAATTCAAATTCCGTGAAAAACATTCTTCACTTTTTTGTTCGAAATTCCACCTCCCTTCGCTTCACCATTGAACTTCTCCCAAGGGACTTTACTGTTAACACCTCTCTCTAGCCATTTCAGAGCGACACCATGTTGTTATTGATGTTTACTTATAAAAGTGCAACTGAGGCTCGTTTTTATACTCCAGCCCACGAACAACTGGCCTCAGATGTTGTTTATGATGATGCTGATGATTGTTAAATGTTTTTAATGTCATTGGCATGCCACGGCATGGCATGGCATTCCATTCGGTCACATCATCTCCCATTCACATAAAAGAACGAACTAATGAATATTTATGATTTTGGTTGCACCATATGTTGGCACTTCTGACGAGTCGACGTATTAAGGAGATACAAAGAAGGAACGAAAAAACAACACACACACACACAAAGTTTGTGTTGTCGTAATTGTTACTGTCGCTGACATTTCTGTTATGTAGTTGTTGTTGTTGTTCCTGTCAATATTGTATAATAACATTTCGCAGTTCAGCAGCATATTTTCTGAAGAGGAAATTCTCTTTGGAGAATATTTATTGGATTTATTCTTTAATTAAGACGACAACGGGACAGGCCTCAGATGATGACGGGTGGAGATAATTTTTGGGATTAAGCGTGGATTAAAAAAAAAATATTTTTAAGCCAAGGCTTGAATTTTCAATGATTTTTTAGGCGTGGATTTTTTAAAGAATATTTTTTCAGGATCTCCATAAGGCGTGGATTTTTTTACAGATTTTTTTCAGGATATCCATAAGGCGTGGATTTTTTTAAGAATATTTTTTTCAGGATCTCCATAAGGCGTGGATTATTTTAAGAATACTTTTTCAAGCTCCTTCAGAAGGCGTGCATTTTTTAAGAATACTTTTTTAAGGTCCTCCACATGGCGCGGATTTTTTTAAACAAACTTTTTCAATGTCCTCCACATGGCGCGGATTGTTTTAAAAGTACTTTTTCAATGTCCTCCACAAGGGGTGGTTTTTTTAGGAATACTTTTTCAAGATCCTCCACAAGGCGTGGATTTTTTATACCCTACACAACTAGGTTGTCAGGGTATTATAGCTTTGTACAGCACCAAGAGTTTGTAACGCAGCGAAATATTGGTCCTAGACCCACCTTTAATTATACCGATCGTCATATCTCGACTAGCTGAGTCGATCTAGACATGTGTGTCCGTCCGTCAGTCCATTATAATTTGTAAACACGATACAGGCCACAGTTATGGACCATTCTTCACGAAATTTTGCATGTAGGATGGATTCTGGCCAATGAAGACCCCTATTGTTTTTGGTAAAGATCGGTTACTATTTAGGGTATAAAATGGACTAAATACTTAATTTTTGTCGGGTTTTCTGGTCGCTCTAGAGGCCGCAAATATGACCCTGACTTTTGTGTGAAAAATGACAAAAGTTGTATTCTATGGCACATATATTTACTCGTGGAGCATATAGACCCGCGAAGTTGATAGTGTATCAAAATGATTCCAATTAAATTGTCGTATGTACTCAGATGTGGGAGTTACATTTAAATATTTACCGGTGCTTACTTATTAGAGGGCGGAAATATGGTACTGATCGCTTTGAAATTTTCTATGAAGTTCCAATTATGAAAACAAAGACAACGCCTATAATTTTCGATGATGATCGGATTAAAATTTTGGGATGAAATGGACCGAAAACTTAATTTTTTGTGTGTTTTCTAGTAGAATATAGGCGAACATCACAACACAACCCACTGTGAAGGGAATCGGAATAAACATCCGAATTCCGTGGTAGTTGTGTAGGGTATCATATGGTCGGCCCCGTCCGACTATACTGCTCCTCTCACTGGTTAAGAATATTTTTCAAGCGCCTCTGCAAGGCGTGCTTTTTAAGAATATTTTTTAATGGCCTCAGCAAGGCCTGCTTTTTTAAGAATATATTTCTAGGACCTGTGCAAGGCGTGTTTTTTAACAATATTTTTCAATGACCTGTGCAATGTTTTTTTTCAAAGAATTGTTTCAAGGACCTGAGCAAGGCGTGTTTTTTTAAAAGAATATTTTTCAAGGACTTGTGCAGGCCTGTTTTCATTTTTTCATTTTTTTTTGAAGTAACTCCAAAAGTCGTGGATGTTTGAACAAATATATTTTTCATGGACCTCCAAAGGGTATGGATTTTTAAATTATATGTTTTTATGGTCATCCCCAAGGCTTGGACTTTTTAAGGATTTATACATGCGTGGATTCTTTAAACAATATTTTGGAGGATCTCTGCATCGGTTCAGATCTAGATATAGCTCTCATATATATATTTAACCTATTTAATGTAAACTGTCCCTATATATTTTTCGATTTGCACGAAATTTGGTACAGCATAATCATTTAGGTCTAGAATTATGTCTGCCAAGTTTCGAGAAAATCGGTTCAGATTTAAATATAGCTTCCATATATATATTGTTTTCACTTCATTTAAATGGTGCCCATTTTTTTCCCTATATATCTTTCGATTTGCACGAAATTTGGCATAACGTACTGAATTAAGCCTAGAGTGATGTCTGCCAAGTTTAACAGGCAAAAGGAATCAGATTTAGATATAGCTCCCATATATAGTTTCGTCCGATTTCATGTAAATGGTGCACCAATGTCGCTATATATCTTGATCCGATTTGCACGAAATTTGGCATAACGTACTGAATTGAGCCTAAAGATGTCTACCCTTGAAATTGTGAAAATCGGTTCAGATTTAGATATAGCTCCCTATATATTATAGATTGATTTTAAGTAATTGACGCACCAAGGAACCAATAGGCTGATTTGCAACAAAACGTTCTGAAATTACTATAACCTAACCTGTGACATGTTTGTTTTAAATCGCTTAATATTTGGATAGAGCTTCAATATATATTTTCGCCCGATTTCTAGTAAATTGGGCATCAAACTCCTCATGTTAGTCAGATTGACATCAAATTTTGCACAACTTACAAAACTGAGCATAGAATTACGTAGGTGCGTTTTCTAGAAGTACAGACATATCCCAACGGATGACCTATTTATATTAGTTTGAAGTCGATTTACATACTTTATGGATAGATCTAGGTAGATTCACATTTAGATAAATATCACATATTTTATTTCATCCAATTTGCTAATAATCCTGTTTAATATACCCATAGTGGTGAATTTAAAAAAAAATGAGACGCGGATCTTTAAAAAACATTTTTTCAGAAGCCCACAAGACGTTGATTTTTTTAATTTGATCCTATAAATAGACCATTACTACAAGCCTTTATTCCCTGGAATGCAAAAGATAAAAGCCACTATAATATACTCAGCTTTGTTTCAAGACATTGTTGTTGTTCCTTTCAATTCCTTTCCTTTCAATAAACACCACTCTGCTTTGATCTTCTAGGTCTGTTCATTCCCTCACTCAAACGTCTGTATCAAATATAAACACACACACTCACACAGATAGACACATTTACTTTTGAAACAATGTCAAAACATGGTTCTTCGAATCCTAGCACTGCTTACGAAACTAACATTGTCCTTTCGAATTTATCGCTTGTCTTGATAAAGTCATTGAATTGGAAAATTTGTTATTTATTTATCGTGACACACAAGGCAAAGACAATGGATGGATGGATGAACCAGACAAGCTGGGGACGAAGGGAAGCAGGGCACACAAATTAACAGTGTTGAAATCTGTGATTCTCGTTTCATATATATTTTTTTTCAAAGGTACTTTGTAACATTTTGTTGCCTTTGTCTGATTCAAATAATTTGCTCATTTGGAAATAATTTTTTGTGCCTAGCTGGTCTGGTAAATATTAAACATATTTCTATTGGATATCATCGTCATCATCATCATGATAATTTTCTTTATTTCATTAAACTGGCATTATTTTCCAGTTCATTAGTCTGTCAATTTTCGAGATACGATTACTTTCTTTCATATTCATGTGAATTTGATATTTAAAGGTGGTTGATAACCGGGGCTGTAATGGGAGAAGGAAAATCGTAATTATAATTTATTGATATATAATTTAATACATATAGGCTAGAGAAGCATTAAAAGTGGATTTTTAAAGAATTCCTCAAAAAAGTTTTTTTCCAGAGCATCCGAGGATATGATTTGGCGTATACTTGTTAGTATTTTTACGCACCTAATACTCATACGCCCACTTGTCAATATCGATTTAAGAATTAACTGTATACAACAAAAATCCAAATAAAATTTGTCAAAAAAAAATTTAAATCACCCACCATTTTAAAATTATTTGTTTTTTTTTTTATAAAAAAAATATTTTTTACTTAAAGTAATTTTTTGCTCTCTCTCTTTCTTTTCAGCTACTCTCCCTTAAATTACAAACTCTTTAAACATAATCCAAAATAAATAAATTGGTTAAATTGCAAAGTTTTAAAATATCCTTCCAAGATAAATGGATTAATAAATTCCGACAAAACAAACTTGTACATTTCATCAACTAACTATTGAAATACCACCATGTCCGACCTGGAACGCATAAGACTGGTAATATTGGGTGGTGCTGGTGTTGGCAAAAGTTCCATTGTCAAACGATTTCTATTCAAAACGTATACGGATAAATATCGTGCCACTGTCGAAGATCTCTATAATCGTGAATATGATTTGGGTGGTGTTACCTTGAAGGTGAGTAAAAAAAAAAATATTTCATTTTGAATGAAGGACACATTCTAGGAGTGGATTTTTTAAATAATAGGTTTCAAGGGCATATACATGGTGGGGATTTACACAATAATATTATTTCAAGCTCCTATAAAAGGCGTGTATTTATAAAAGAATATTTTTTTTCAAGGACCTGTACAAGGCGTGGATTTTTTAAAGAATATTTTTTCAAGGACCTATACAAGGCGTGGATTTATTAAAGAATATTTGTTCAAGGACATACGCAAGGCGTGGATTTATAAAAGAATATTTTTCAAGGGCATACGCAAGGCGTGGATTTATAAAAGAATATTTTTCAAGGGCATACGCAAGGCGTGGATTTATAAAAGAATATTTTTCAAGGACATACGCAAGGCGTGGATTTATAAAAGAATATTTTTCAAAGGCATACGCAAGGCGTGGATTTATAAAAGAATATTTTTCAAAGGCATACGCAAGGCGTGGATTTATAAAAGAATATTTTTTCAAGCTCCTATAAAAGGCGTGGATTTATAAAAGAATATTTTTTCAAGCTCCTATACAAGGCGTGTATTTATAAAAGAATATTTTTTCAAGCTCCTATAAAAGGCGTGGATTTATAAAGGAATATTTTTCAAGGGCCAACTGAGGCGTGGATTTATTAAAGAATATTTTTCAAGGGCCAACTGAGGCGTGGATTTATAAAGGAATATTTTTCAAGGGCCAACTGAGGCGTGGATTTATAAGGGAATATTTTTCAAGGGCCAACTAAAGGCGTGGATTTATAAAGGAATATTTTTCAAGCACCTATAAAAGGCGTGGATTTATAAAGGAATATTTTTCAAGCACCTATAAAAGGCGTGGATTTATAAAGGAATATTTTTCAAGCACCTATAAAAGGCGTGGATTTATAAAGGAATATTTTTCAAGCACCTATAAAAGGCGTGGATTTATAAAAGAATATTTTTCAAGGGCCAACTGAGGCGTGGATTTATAAAGGAATATTTTTCATGCTCCTATAAAAGGCGTGGATTTATAAAGGCATTTTTTCCAAGTTCCTATAAAAGGCGTGGATTTATAAAGGAATATATTTTCAAGGACCTATACAAGGCGTGGATTTGTAAAGGAATATATTTTTAGCGGCTTTAAAAGGCGTGGATTTATAAAGGAATATTTTTTTAGAGGCTTTAAAAGGCGTGGATTTGTAAAGGAATATTTTTCAAGCACCTATAAAAGGCGTGGATTTATAAAGGAATATTTTTTATTTTGTATACCCTTCACCACACTGTGGTACAGGGTATTATGTCTTTGTGCACATGTTTGTAACAGGCAAAAGGAATTCAGATAGATGGCTCCTTTTGAGCATATGCATAGAATCACTTTCTGAGTCGATTTACGCATGTCCGTCTGTCCGTCCGTCCATGTATTTTTGTTAACAAAGTACAGGTCGCATTTATAATCCGATTTGGATGAAATTAGGCACAGTTCACTTATTTGGCCCACGGACGAACCCTATTGAAATTGGAGAAAATCTGTTCAGATTTAGATGTAGCTCCCATATATAGTTTCGCACCAAGCTCCCAATATTTGTCCGATTGGGACAAAATTTTTTACAGCGCACTGAATCAGGTCCATTCTTATGTATGTGAATTTTGTTGGAATCGGTTCAGATTTAGATATAGCTCCCACATATAGTTTCGTCCGATTTTATGTAAATGATGCACCAAACTCCCAATATTTGGCCGATTGGGACAAAGTTTTGCACAGAGTATTGAATTAGGTCCAGTCTGATATCTGTGAAGTTTTGCTAAAATCGGTTCAGATTTAGATATACCTCCCATATATAGTTTCGTACGATTTTATGTGAATGATACATCAAACTCCCAATATTTGTCCGATTGAGCAAAAATTCGTGAGATTGCACTTCAATGGTCCTAAAAAGATACTATGCATGTTCTATCTGCAGGATATTGTAGATATTAACATCTCTTGTATGTACCCCAAGTGGTGAAGGGTACCGTATAGTCGACCCCGACCGACTTTGAACTTTCCTTTCTGGATTAAATAATATTTTTTCAAGGACCTATACAAGGTGTGGGTTTTTTAAAGAATATTTTTTCAAGGACCCATACAAGGCGTAGATTTCTTAAAGAATATTTTTTCAAGGACCTGTACAAGGCGTGGATTTTTTAAAGAATATTTTTTCAAGGACCTGTACAAGGCGTGGATTTTTTAAAGAATATTTTTTCAAGGACCTGTACAAGGCGTGGATTTTTTAAAGAATATTTTTTCAAGGACCTGTACAAGGCGTGGATTTTTTAAAGAATATTTTTTCAAGGACCTATATTTACGAGGCGTGGATTTTTTAAAGAATATTTTTTCAAGGATTTATATTTACGAGGCGTGGATTTTTTAAAGAATATTTTTTTAAAGGACCCATACAGGGAGTCGATTTTTGAAAGAATACTTTTTCAAAGACCCATACAAGGCGTGGCTTTTTTAAAGAATATTTTTTTTCAAAGACCCATACAAGGCGTGGCTTTTTTAAAGAATATTTTTTTTCAAAGACCCATATAAGACGTGGATTCTTTAAAGAATATTTTTTTAAGGACCCATACAGGGCGTCAAATTTTTGAAAGAATATTTTTTCAAGGACCCATACACGGCGTGGATTTTTCAAAAAATATATCTCAAGAATTATTAAGTATATTTTTAAAAGTCCTTGACTTTTCTAAATCTTTATTCAAAGTTCATTGCCAATTTTCTCATCGAAAAATCCACATATCCAATTTTGCTGCCATCTACCATATAAACAATTTTCTAATTAAATGTATCCCCTGTGTTTATACGGTCGATTTTCATACTTAAACAAATATTGACTGTTGAAATCCCAGCCGCAATGTTATCAGATTTTCAATCTTCAATCAGTGTGTATATGTGTATGTGTGTGTGCGTGTATGCTTGTGTTAATAATGCAGTAAATTTTCGGCTAACATCCTTTTGATATTCAGCTCCATATGGAATTGATGCATCATCCTCATCATCATCCACAGCAGAAGCAGCAGCAAAGTCATGAAATGCAATTTTCCACAAACTCACACACACACATATATATACACTCACACACAGAGTGAAGACCACAACATTTTCGTTTTTAGTGGGTTTTACCATCAGATGGTATCCTGCATTTAAGATGTGTTGCTACAACTGATGTTGTTGTTGTTTTTGGTAAGTGTCCATCAATGGCTACGATGATGTGGATGATGAGGTCCTGGTCTGTGGCGTATAGAAACTGTTTGTAGATTGTATTTAATAACTAATACATGCTCAATAACAGATTTTGGGCAAAAAATGCTTAAAGCCACATGAACGGACACCAGAGTAGTGGGTCAGTTACATGCCTCAGAATTACCAAATACCGGCTGTAGTGAGGGTTAAATACTTTACTATGAAAAAAATATTTCCTGCAGAAGGGGTTGTAAAGGTCAATTAAAAATAAATATTTAGGTTAATTCGCCTTTGGTAAGGCCTAAAGCAGGATGGGTATTAGCTTTTTAAAAGTGATAAAACATTAATATTTATTTTTGTATTAAAAAATGTTATCGGATGAGTGTTATTATACCCTACACAGGGTATTAAAACTTTGTGCAGCCCCAAGAGTTTGTAACGCAGCGAAATATTGGTCCTAGACCCACCGTCTTATCTCAACTACCGATCGTCTTATCTCGACTAGCTGAGTCGATCTAGACATGTGTGTCCGTCTGTCGATTATAATTTGTAAACACGATACAGGCCACAGTTGTGGACCAATCTTCACGAAACTTTGCATATAGGAAGGATTTTGGCCTAGTGCTTTTGGTAAAGATCGATAAATATTTAGGGGATGATATGTACCAAATATTTAATTTTTGTCGGTTTTTCTGGTCGCTCTGGAGGCCGCAAATATGACCCGAACATCGCGAAATTCTACATGGAGAAGAGGATTGGGCCAGAGAATATGCATGCCTTCTTTGATAAAGACGGTCATTATTTAGTCAAATGGACCCTGACTTTTGTGTGAAAAATGATAAAATTTGTATTCTATGGCGTATATATTTACTCGTGGAGCATATAGACCCGCACAGTTGATAGTGTATCCAAGAGGAATGGTTGACCTTCAAAATGACTCCAATTACATTGTCGTATGTACTCAGATGTGGGAGTTACACACAAATATTTACAGGTGCTTACGTATTCAGATATTATTTAGTAACCCATTACCTCATTAGAGGGCGGAAATATCGCGCTGATATTTCCATGAAGTTCCAATTATGGTCAAAGACAACACCTATAATTTTCGATGATGATCAGATTAAAATTTTTGGATGAAGTGGACCGAAAACTTATTTTTTGTGTTTTCTAGTCGAATATAGGCGAACATCACAACACAACCCACCGTGAAGGGCATCGGAATAAACATCCGAGTTCCGTGGTAGTTGTGTATGGTATCGTAAGGTCGGCCCCGTCCGACTATACTGCTCCCCTCACTGGTATTAAATATTATATTTAATAATTCTCCAATTAACATTTCCTCAATTGATTTTCTATTCCAGGTTGATATTTTGGATACATCCGGTGATATGCAATTTCCTGCCATGCGACGTTTATCTATAGCCACAGCGCATGCATTTATGCTCGTCTATGCCACAACATCTGGACCAAGTTTTCAATGTGTGAAACAATGTTTTGAAGAAATTCGAGAGCAAAGAGCTGACTTTCAAGTAAGTGCAAGTATTTTTATTATCGCAACACTCGCACATGACAATTCCAGGTAAAAATAGAAACAACAAATTAATAAATTCCCTGAACTGTGTTTATTTGTTTAACGCAACAAAACGAAGCAAAACCAACACCACACACCACAAAGTTGCAGTAATTATTCGGCTAAAAAAGTATTTTGTAAAAATGTTGTGGTTATTAAAAAAATAAATGACATGGCAAAAAGTTACAATGAAAAACAAAACAAAAGTCAATTATTTATATATGAAAATAAATTCGCAGAAAATTTTGAGTTATTGTTTCTGATATTGATTTTAATTAATTTCCATGGTAAAAGTCATGTTGCAAATTCCCTTCACCGTGTGTTGTGTTGTGATGTTTGTCTTATTACTATGGCCTATAGATCGATTCAAAAAAAAATATAAAATAAAAAAAGCTTTCCAAATTTATTACCTGATCATTACTGAAAAAATATAGGCGCTGTCCTTGACCATAACTGGAACGTCATGGAACATTTCAAAGCGATCAGCGCTATATTTCCGTCCTGTAGTGTGGTACTAACTAATGTATGAATACGCAAGTACCTGTAAATATTTAAGTGTAACTCCCACATCCGAGGACATACAACAATTTAATTGGTATCAATTTAAAGGTCAACCACTACTCTTGGATATATAATCAACTTCTCGGATCTATGTCCTTCAACAGTAACGATAGACGCCGTAGAATGAAATTTTGTCATTTTTCACACAAAAGCCAGAGTCCATTTGACCCGCTAAATATTGACCACTCTTTATCAAAACACGCATGCTTATACTTTGGCCCGATCCCCTTCTCCATGCGAAAATTCGCGTTGTTTGGGTCCTAATTGCGACCTCTGGAGCCACCAGAAAAACCGACAAAAGTTAAGTATTTGGTCCATTTCATCCCCTAAATATTAGCCGATATTTTCCTTCATTGAGTCCAATTCATCCTACATTCAAAATTTCGTGAAGATTAGTTCATAACTGTGGCCTGTATCGTGTTTACAAAATATAATGGACAGACGGACGGACGGACACACATGTCTAGATCGACTAAGCTAGTCGAGATATGACGATCGGTATACTTAAAGGTGGGTCTAGGACAAATATTTCGCGGTGTTACAAACTCTTGGGGCTGCACAAAGCTATAATACCCTGACATCATAGTTGTGTAGGGTATAAAAATGATTCCTAGGGTATATGGCAGTGTTTATTAATTTGGTTAAGGCAGAGCAATAAGAAGGATTTTTTTTAATTTGGCATTCGGTTTGTAACACCTTGAAATATTCATCGGAAGCCTCATGAAGTATATGTATATATTCTTAATCGGAATATTCTATGTTGAAATCAAACCAGTAAGGAAAGTTCAAAAGTCGGACGGGGCCGACTATATAATACCCTTCACCACTTTGGGTACATACAAGAGATGTTAATATCACAAAATCGTGTAGATAGAACAGGCATTGAATCTTTGGACGACCATTTAGATGAAATCGGGAGAAATTAAATGTGCCATGCAGATAGATATTTCAACCAATTGAAAAAAAAACCATACACATACCATTCTGAAATCAATGAAAAATTGTATGTCAAACGGGCAGACTTGGATTCTTTGGTATACCATTTGTATGAAATCGAGTAAAATTATGTATAGGGACTATATATAAACACATAGAGCTAATGAGCAGCTGTCGCATACACCATTTGTTTTTTGTTATCAGTCTATATTCAATTTAATATATAAGTCCGATATAAAAATCTGAACCGATTTCAACACACCTTATCACACATCATTTTTTCCTCAAATGCATTCGCTATGCAAAATTTTGCGTAATCGGACAAATATTGGGTGTATCATTCGCAGACATGAGTTAGGTGCAGACTCATGTCTATGTGTAACATTTTGTCCCAATCGGTCAAATGTTGGGAGTTTGGTGTATCATTCACCACAAATCGGCCGAAACTATATATGGGAGCTATATATAAATCTGAACTGATTTTAACAAAACTTGGCATACATAAGTATGGGCCTGATTCAGTGCACTGAACAAAATTTTGTCCCAATCGGACAAATATTGGGAGTTTGGTGTATCATTCACAAAAACCGTATATGGAAGCTATATCTAAATCTGAACCGATTTTAACAAAACTTCGTAGACATCAGTCTAGACCTTATTCAGTACCCTGTGCAAAATTTTGTCCCATTCGGACAAATATTGGGAGTTTGGTGCATCATTCACAAAAAATCGAACGAAACTATATATGAGATCTATATCTAAATCTGAACCGATTCCAACAAAACTTCGCATACATAAGTATGGGCCTGATTCAGTGCACTGAGCAAAATTTTGTCCCAATCGGACAAATGTTGGGAGTTTGGTGCACCATTCACAAAAAATCGAACGAAACTATGTATGGGATCTATATCTAAATCTGAACCGATTCCAACCAAACTTCGCATACATAAGTGTGGACCTGATTCAGTGCACTGAGGAAAATTTTGTGCCAATGGGACAAATATTGGGAATATGGTGCATCATTCACAAAAAATCGGACGAAACTATATATAGGAGCTATATCTAAATCTGAACAGATTTTCTCCAATTTCAATAGGGTTCGTCCTTGGGCCACATAAGTGAACTGTGCAAAATTCCATCCAAATCGGATGAAAACTGCGACTTGTTACCAAAAATACATGGACGGACGGACAGACGGACATGTGTAAATCGACTCAGAATGTGAGTCTATGCATATTCTCAAAAAGAACCATAGGTCTATCTCGATTCCTTCTGTCTGTTACAAACATATGCACAAATACATAATACCCTGTACCACAGTGTGGTGAAGGGTATAAAATCGCAATAATACTAGGATGTTTGGTACTTACAATTACATATATCGATTCCTTTTTAGGTCCGCATCCATATTATAATACCCAGATACAAGTTGATTTACTAATGTCTCTCCGTACATCTACCTGTCTAGCTGGCTAGCTGATGTGCACAACAACTTTTAAAGGGAGTAACCGATTTCATGTCTTTCATGTCCACAGTCTCAACATTTTTTTTTAATTTGTTAATCGGATATCAAGAAAATTGAATTGAATATCCGATTTGATCCAAACTTGGCAAATTGTAGTACTTACCACAATTCGCATACCATACGCTCTGTCCGCAACACCAACTGACACTTTTCTACGTGGTTTTTTAAAAGGTCCTTGAAAATTTGTTTTTAAAAATCGATAGGTCCTTGAAAAACATTATTAAAAAAATCAACACGTTGGATAGATCCTTTAAAAATATTTTTCTAAAAATCCATACCATGGATTCAGCTTAGATATGTCCTTGAAAAGAATTCTTTGAAACATCCACACATTAAATAGATCCTTCAAAAATATTCATATGAAAATCCACGCCATGTATAGACCCTGGAAAAGGATTTTTTAAAAAAATCAACGAATACACAAAAAATCAAGGTTCTTGAAAAAAATTCTTTACAAAATCCAGGCCTAGGATAAGTTCTTAAAAACATTTCAGAAAAAATCGACAAAGTGAATAGATCCTTAAATACATTAAAAACGTGGATAAAACCTTAAAACTGTCCATGAAAGAAATTCAGACCTTAGATAGGATCTTAAAAATATCGACAAAAGACTCTGTAAAAAATCCTCTCTTTGAATAGGTTCCTGAAAAAGATTCGTAAAAAAATACGCAGCTTGGATAGGTCCTTGAAGAATACTGTATAAAATACACACATTGAATATGTCCTTAAAGATATTCTTTAAAAAATTCACGCCATAGATAAGTCCTTTACAATTTTTTTTTATAAAAATCCTTAAAATCACAACATTAGATAGGACCTTCCAAAAGACGCCATGTATAGACCCTCGAACAAAATTCTCTCGAAATTCAAAATTCCCTTTTTTAGCTTCTTGAAGAAGACGTTGTAAAAATTCACGCCTTAGATAGGTCCTTCAAAAAAATTCATTCCGAAATCCTCGTCATGGATTTGTCCTCGTAAAAGATGTTTTAAAAAATCCAAACCATGTATAGATTCTTGAAGAGAGTTTCTTTAAAAATCAACGTAATGAATGGGTCCTTAAAACATTCTTTTATGAATCCAGACCTTGGATAGGATCATAAAAACATTTTTAAAATATCGACAATTTGGAAAGGTCTTTAAAACATTCTTTACGAAGTCCACGCCTTGGATATGTCCTTCAAAAAGACTGTAAAACAGTTCACACCGGGGATAGCCCCTTCAAGAGATTTTTTCAAAAATCCACGCCTTAAATAAGTCCTTTAAAAAACCTTAAAAAAATCATGCAATAGGTGCCTGAAAAACATTCTTAAAAAGTCCACGCTTTGTGTAGTTCCTTGAAAAAATATTCCTGCAAAATCCAAGCTTTGAATATGTTCCTGAAAAATATCCTTTAAAAAGTCTACGCTTTGTGCATGTCCTTCAAAAAGATTCTTTAAATCTCCAGATCATAGATAGGCCCTTAAAAAGATTCATTTTAAAACGTCTTGGATAGGTCTTTGAGAGAGAGTCTCTAACATGTCACGTCTTGGAAAGGCCTTTGAACAAATATTCCCACAAAATCCACACATTGTGCAGGGCCAGGAAAAAATAGCTTTTAAAAGGTATTTCTTAAAAAATCCACGACTGTGGAAGTCCTTAAAAAAAATCGTCCCGAACAGCGTGTCAAGTAACAATCAATTGACAGCAATGATACCCGAAATTCATGTTCAACCTCACACAAACGATATTATCAATTTTATTTTGCAATAATAATAACCACAACGAATAATAACCGCAACCAAAAACAACAAAACAAATATATATATTTCATATTACAACAACAATAGCAACGAAATTGTCAAATTGACCTGAAATAAATACAGAAATCAGAATCAAAAACCCCCATCACCATCAACATCCGTACTCAAAGTTATGACCTTTTCAAATATGACCCAGTGTTTGTCATACTATATAACTACAATAACAACAACAACACAACACACAATTGTTACTGTTTGCTTATTTTCATTTTTTCTCCTCTCTGTCTGTCTCTCTCTCCACCTTTTTACTGCAGGACATACCCATAGTTATTGCTGGCAATAAATCTGATTTGGCAAAAACACACCGAGAAGTTAAACTGGAGGAGGTAACAGACTGGGTCTATTGTGAATTACCACGTTTAAGGTAAGTTATTGTTATTGTTGTTATTTGTTCTTCGTTTTTTTATTATTGGTATTTGTAGATTTTTATTGGTATTCTGTGAAGGTGTGTGTGCGTGCGGCTGTGTGCTTTTTTGTTATTGTGTATTTTGCGGTCATTGTCGTAATTGCTGTGGCTGGCCTTTGTGGTTTTATTTGTCGACCAACATTCCAATAGCCCTAAAGTCCAATAGACGACATCTCTGTGATTTGAATGATTGAACACAATTGACACCCTGTTGGCCAAGATTGTGGAGGGTTATAAATGTCAGCCGGCATTCAATCTTAAATCAAAAGGGAAGATTGAGTATTTGTTTAAATGTGTAAAGGGGATAATAACATTTAAAGGACAAAAGATTCAACAAAATCAGTATAGGCCTTTGAAAAATATTCTTTAAAAAATACACGCCTTGTATAGGTCCTCTAAAAAAATTTTCTTTAAAAAATCCACGCCATATTTAGGTCCTTTATTCTTTTAAAAATCCACGATATTCTTTTAAAACTCCACGGCTTGTATAGGTCCTTGAAAAAATATTCATTTTTTGTATAGGTCGTTGAAAAAATATTCTTTTAAAAATCCACGCCTTGTATAGGTCGTTGAAAAAATATTCTTTTAAAAATCCACGCCTTGTATAAGTCCTTAAAAAAATTCGAGCCTTATTTAGGTCCTTGAAACGCCATATTTACGTACGTAGCTGGGTTGTGACAGAACTTTCGTTCCATAAGACGAGCTTAAAAAAGATTTCCAGGCGCGTCGGTCTTTTGCGCAATTTTTCCAATTTGAAGGACCATATTCGGCAATTGGTCTTTTTCTTCGGTCGGTTTTCTACCAATTGGTCTTTCCATTTTATTTTTGGCCTTCCCTTTCTGCGTGAACCATCAGCTGGTTCGCTTTTATATTCCTTCTGGGCTGGGGCATCTTCATTCATTCTCCCAACATGACCTAGCCAACGTAGTCGCTGCAGCTCAATACGTCTAACAATGTCAATGTCCGAGAATAGCTGGTACACTCATGGATCGGCCCATAGATGTTTCGGAGAATTTTTCTTTCAAACACTCCAAGAGCTGCCTCATCTGCTTGCGCAAGTATCCATGCTTCAAATCCATATAACGGCACGGGTAGTATCAGCGTCTTGTAGAGTGTGAGTTTGGTCTGGAGGGAGGTGGCCTTGATTTTGAGTTGTTTTCTCAGACCATACTAGCATCTGTTGGCCATCACAATCCTACTCCGAATTTCAAAACTGATGTCATTCTTTTTGTTTATAGCGGTACCAAGGTATATAAAATCTTTGACTACCTCGAAGCTTTAGTTCTAAAGTTCCACAGTTGCTCCGAGTCTACTGGACGTCTTGCGCGTTGATACCATCAGCTTGGTCTTCTCGCCGTTTACTGCAAGACCCACTTTGGCGGACTCCTTCTCGATTGTTCAAAGGTGGCTGTTACCGCTCTCAATGTTCGACCCATTATATCGATGTCATCGGCGTAGGCGAGTAACATGTGTTGTTTGGTGTACAGAGTGCCATATCCGTTCACCTTTGCATCTCGTATGACCTTTTCCAGCAGGATGTTAAAAAGATCACACGACAAACTGTCACCTGGCTTGAATTCTTGTTAGGTATTGAAGGGCTCCGATAGGTCCTTTCCGAATTTTAACTGCTGACCTTGTGTCACTTAAAGTTATCCTGCATAGCCGTATTAATTTTGCAGGAATGCCGAACGTAGACATGGCTCTGAACAAATAGGGCTGTCGAATGCGGATTTATAGTCAACGAATAGATGGTATGTGTCGATGTGTTTTTCGTGGGTCCTTTCCAGGATTTGGCGCAGAGTGAAAATCTGGTCAAAGGTGGATTTGCCAGGTCTGAAGCCGCATTGGTATGGCCCAATAACGTCATTGACCATTAATGGGAAGGAGACATATTCCATATAGTGGCACATATCGTCTTGTTTCCTTTTTTGTGCACGGGACACAGGATGCTGAGGTTCCAATTATTGGGCATGCATTCCTCTAGCCAAATTATACTAATCATCTGGTGCATGCTCCTGACCATCATCTGACCAATAGTCTTGAAAAGCTCGGCTGGTAACCCATCGGCACCTGCTGCTTTATTGGTCTTCAGCCGATTAATTGCTACTCTGAACTTATCTTGACTAGGCGGTATACAGTCTATACCGTCATCTCTTATTGGTTCTGGGGTAACTTCTTCAACGCCACTATTTGATACCAGAAGCTTTTCAAAATGCTCCTTCCAAATCCCCAACATACTGTCTGTATCTGTCACCAGGTTTCCTTCTTCATCGCTACAGGAGGATGTGCCTGCACCAAAGCCTTCGGTTTGGTGTTTTACTCGTTGGTAAAATTTCCGGACTTCATTCTGACTCCTGTATATCTCGATTTGCTCACGCTCACGTTTTTCAAAATGCTCTTTCCAGATCCCCAACACCCTGTCTGTATCTGTTCCAGGTTTCCTTTCTCATCTCTACAGGAGGATATGCCTGCATTGTTAAAATTTCCGGACATCATTCTGACTCCTGTAAATCTCGATTTGCTCACGCTCACGTTTTTCTCGTTCTTTCTTCATTTTTTTTTTAATAAGTTTCTCATCTCTCCTTTTCTCCCGATAATTCTCCATCACATTACGTGTTTGCAGGGTTGCCCTATACGCTGCGTTTTTGACATCAGTAGCATTACGACACTCCTGGTCGAACAATGGGTTTCTTGGTGGTGGTTTTTTGGTACCCAAGTATTGCTTTTGCTGCAGTTTGTAGGGAGTGGGCAATTCTTTGCCATTGTACTTCTATACTATTATCGGGACAAGGAGTGCTTTCGTCAAGCAGTTGGGTAAGTTGAGCGGAGTAGGCCTCGGATACCTGTTGTGGTTGCAGCTTTTCGACGTCGAGTTTCCGTGATGTGTTAGATCGCATCTTTGCTGCAACATTAAGACGAGTGCGAACCTTGGCTTCTACAAGGTAGTGGTCTGAATCGATATTCGCTCCTCGGATCGTCCAATACAATGGATGAATGTCTTCCATCTATCACAACATGATCAATTTGATTTCTCGTTGCTTGATCAGGAGAAATCCAGGCGGCCTTGTGTATATCCAGATGCTTGAATGTGGTGCTGCTAACTATTATGTTTTTTGCTGCCGCGAAATCAATCAACCTCATACCGTTGTCGGATGTTTCTTCATGAAAGCTGAATTTTCCTACGGTGCGGCCAAAGATATTTTCCCTTTCGATTTTTGCATTAAAATCTCCTTAATGCCATGACCAGGGCAGCGATCATATGCTGTTTCTAGGCGCTCGTAAAACATGTCTTTGGTCTGGTCATCTTCGGTCGGAGCATTGGCGCAAATAAGACTGAGGTAGAAGAACTTCGCTTTTAAACGGATTATAGCAATTCGCTCATCTATTGGAGTGAATCTGGAGAAGAGGTCTTTTATTCTCCTCTTGACCATAAATCCGCAGCAAAATTCATGTCTCGTTTCATGGCAGCTATAATATAGGGCGTAGTCGTCTGATTTACTTACGCCTGTCCCTTTCCATCGCATTTCCTGTAAGGCAATAACATCGGCTTTGTACTGCTTGAGTACATCCGCCAATGCGAGAGCTGCGCCTGTTCTGTACAACGTACGCACATTCCAAGTGCAGATTTGCAAATCGTGGCCCTTTATACGTTTGCGGGGGTCGTAAACATAAGGGGGGTTGGTTTTCTTTTTCTTAGCTTTTTCATAGTAGGTTCGGTTTTCCGAGCGTGGGCAACTAACCCGACGCCTCAACCCATTTGTTATACTCCTTATGAGTGAACTCGCGGCACATATTAGCTCACTATTTCATCGAGTGATGAGAATAGTTCCCCAGGTGGTACCGCGGGGAGGTCAGTGTCCACAATTGAGATGAAAGAGGGACCAAGATAAGCAATGACTTCGCCATGTTAAAGTCAATCAGAGCCGTTGCTTGGTATCTATCATCCCCTAAGCCACCCTATTTTTTTTACAAAATCCACATATTAATGATGATAAACAAAAATTATTTCACCTCAATAAATATTCGTTCAAAAACCGTTTATTAAAAAATCCACGCCCTGTATAAGTCCTTGAAAATATTCTTTCACTTTTATTTGTGTTAATTTTCTACAATCTCTGAACTTCTTGTTGGGTCAATGCGTAATGCAACCCAATTTCCCAAAAAAATATCAAATGTTATTTTGTTGTTTTTTTTTTTTTTTTGAAGTTGGTAAATGACCTCGGTAGCTAGTTTTTCCATTTAACCCAGTAATGTCTGTTTGAAAAACTTCACTATTTTTGCTGATTGTTGTTGGTATGTGTACTAACTTTGGATTGGTCTGGCATGCAATGCCAGAAACGCATTCAAGTATATTTAATGTTCCAGTTTTTTTCAGTTTAAATTTTTTTTGTTATTGCTGTATGCGGCGGCAGTTAAAAATCGTCCATTTATGCGGTATTTATGGGAAACTAAATGCAATTTATTACATTCAAAATGCCAACTAGTAAAAGTAATAATAAACGATCCGGCTGGCGTCGTTTGGCAAAGAGAGAGAAGGGGAGTTGCTCTTCTTTAATGTATTTTTTTTATTTTTTTCCTGCAGACTGTTGTTCGAACTATTTTTGCCATACATATATGAACATTAATGGTATAAGTGTGTGTGTATGTGTTTGCATATGCAATTTGTTATTTGTCAAGAACGTTCATTGCTCGACACAAATAGACAGACACACACACACAATGTGACATCATACATATCGTAGCAGATGTAGCCGAATAATGCTCGCCATTATGGCAAACATATCTTTGCCATGCCTCATAGCTTGTATTTATTATACAGTTATTGGTGACCCCACATCCTTCATATATATGCCTTGGTAAATGTTTATATATACATATATATCAAAGTTTAATTTTCCAATTAACTTAAAATGCCCATAATGTATTGAAAGTAATTTTAGAGTCTATTTGTTGTGTATTTAA